CACGGCTGAGAACAAGCCGACCAAGCCGACCAGGGGCTCCAGAGCCCGGCCACTCGGCTCCCGGCGCCCTCTTCTTCCGTGGCCTGCCGTGGCGGCCTCCTGCGTGGGACCTGCAGGACAAGAGAGAGGGGAAACGTCGACCCTGTTTCCCCCTTTTCGAAAAGCGAGGGGGAAAACAAGCAGGTTGACTCTCTCGTTTAAACAGGGCGACCCAGCAAGAGGGCAGTGAAAGCCAATCACAAAATGCAATCCAATTAGAAAAGGACAACTGTGTTATAAAAAGGAAATGGGTTAGAAAGAGAAGCAAGAAACAATTCACAAAGGACACCCCTGGCCGAACAAGGCCTTCTCTGTACTGCTCTTTTACACCAATACAGATGGGCTCCCAACCCCCCCCACCTCGAGAATGCTTTCGTATGCAAATTGCCCTCATTTACATATCACAGCTTCACTTCTTCTCCCATCGCCCTATGTAAAGAGGGTGAGATGCAGGGCCCTGTTTTTCTCCCCTCCCTGCCCTTAGTTCCTCCTGGTTGCAAACTGTAGGAGCTGCAGGTCTACCGGGCTGTTGTCCCAGGTGAGTCTTAAGGACTAGAAACTTAGAATCCTTTTGATTCCCTGGACAATCAATTCCTGGCTCTTCCCAAATATTTCTTTCTCTTGTGACCTGGTTGGAAACGGCCCCCGTTTCTTCCCCTTTCCGTCTGAAAACCAGAGCAGACAAAGTACTTTTTTTTTTTTACTACGACTCCCAGAATCCCCTGATGCTGAAATCTGTAGTCCAGAAAAGCTAATTTTCCCAAGTTCTGGCATTCCCACTAACCCTCATCTTCTAAGGACGGGCTTAGATCATGTGCTTTTGTGTCAAGTTTGATCCCCGGTTTTCCTGAATGGTTAAAAAGCAAAATAAATCCATAAATTCACAAGCTGCTTCGCAGGTTGGCTGCACGGACAAGTAACTTTACTAGGGAAATTACTGAAGGAAGATGATTATTCCCACCAGAGCGAGGAAATACTTCTGACCTCTGGTTGAACAAATTCCTTATGGCAATCCCAAATGCCATTATCACCAGAAGGGCTTGGTTTTTATTAGCGATGCAACACCCATAGCTTGGTCTTCCAGAGGCGACTTCAACGAAATTACTCCAACGAAATTACAGAATCCGATGCCGAGAAAACTAAGAACAGCTGCTTGGTGGTCCCTGGGTCAAAATGACGTTTGCTCCCCAGACACTCGGGGGCTAATAAGTGTGTTTGACCTTAAGAAAGATCCTTAAGGAAAAAGTTTGTTTTTTTCACACCATCTGGAGAAGAGCGACTTCTAGGGAAAAATTTTCCCTTTTTGTTCCATAAAACACACTCGAGAAACAGGATTACAGGTGTCCATACCTCGAAAGATTTAGCGACAGACAACAATTTTTATATTAGGTACCGAACTGAGGATCCTGAAACTTTCCACTTTCATTATTTAAAAGTATTACACTTAAAAAAGTTTCTAGATCTCATTGACTGTAAAAGGAGATTGGGGGGGGGGAAAGGGGGGGAGCTTGATGGCATCTCAGAAGGGCTTCCAGAGAGGCAGAAAGAGAGAGGTGGCTGGAACATGGACAGCAGTCTGCATATGCATCAGAGCAAGTATGGAAGATAGACTGCCTTTAATCCAGGAGGCTTTATTAAACCTCCTTGCTAATTTATAGCCACTGGATAGAAAGCAGGGAGACACAGACCTCTTTAGTTGCTACTTCTCTCATCTGGTACTTTTTAAGTGTCTCGTGTTATTATTTCAAATGCTGCCTCCCCCCCCCAATGCTTAATTCACTGCTTAAGATGGACAGTAAACATCAAAGCTCTTAGAGAAGGAAAACACAGAATATTTATCTCAAGTCGGGTTTTCCCTAAAGAAAGTTCTTAGAGAACAAAGCCCTTTTAGGGGCAGAAAGTGACAGAGAATCAGAATTATAGGATATACATTACTGTATATCTCATATAAATAGTCTATGAACCAGAAATAATATTGTTTGGACTTTTTAAAGATACAGTTAATCTGTAGGATAAAGGCTTGGTCAGAAAGCTTCTCCTTGCTGCCAAAATAACACCAAAATGTTTCATGATCAGGCCTGCAGAAAGAACAGGACGTAAGAAAAATAAGTCCCAGCCCTTCATGCACGTATGTTTCTATATAAAGAAATGCTCACACGTATGCGGCCAAAGGTAAAACGGGAACAAGACTTTTGAAAACTGGCTTCCTCTCCATTTCTGAACACAAGTTAGTGTGCTAGTTTTGTTAACTGCTTGCTTGTTTTAATGCTTTTTCATCTACAAAGGGCCTTCAGAGACACGGCGTAGGAGGTGTTTAATACCAAATAAGAAACAAACTCTCTTTTCAGACTTCGGCATTAGAGCGGGGGTCCTTCCTCACGTCTCTGCCTCAACGGAGTTGTCCATTTAAGTCCAAAGGAGAACGGGGGCTGGGGGGTGGCTGGAAACATGGCCTACGTACGGAGCTCCAAAGTGACAAGAGCTTTCTATCCGCACTCTGAATGGGTCTCAAGGTTCTAGTCCTCACTGACAAAACTCTCAACTCATTCCTTCTGCTCTTCCAGGCGACACATGTATTTTGCAGCTGTTAATCTCTGAGGCAGACGTCTTGTGACCTGCACTTATAAGAACCCAGAGGCCCATGTCTTTGCACCCCTCCGACTACAATACCCCTTCTCCCCTAGACACCTCTGGGCAAGGCAGTTCCTTGATGGCAGGCGGCCGCCCAGCCTCCTCACGCTGGGGAGGATTCCGTGATCCGGTTTCATCAGACAACAAACACAGATCTTATTTCCTTGCTCCCACTTAAGATGATGATGGGCTAGGACTGGGCTCCGATTCAGAGAGACCACAGGCACCGTCCTCCTCAAAGGACAGGCTCCCCAAAAGCTTCTGGGGTGTAGTTTGGAAAAGACTTCAGCAAAGCAAACAAGCCGGGCACCTCAGCAAGTCTTGCATTAGTTAAAAAAACACAACACAACACACACATATACACTCCAGACCTTTTGTTTTCTGGCTTTGTCATCCCCTGGTTGCAGAGTGACTCACCTTCTCGGTGGCCTGGCCGAGGCAGGCTGCCATGACGGAAAGAGTCACACAGAAGCCAGCCAAGGAAAACCTGGAAGGGGGAAAGAAAAAACAGGACACTGGGATCTCCTGGTCAAGGTTAGCGGCGCTGCGGTGGCTCCAGGCAAAGCAGGAAGACGGAGGAGCCCAACACCCGGGGGGGGGGCTGGGAAGCCTCTCTCCTTTCCTGGAAAGAAAGGAGACCAGTGCGATCTGGAAACGCCGCAATTACTACATCCTCCCACCAGTAACTCCGAGAATAGTGGCGGAGAACCCCACCAGTAGACATGAGGACTAGAAACCTGGCTTCATTTGGAACAAGCAACGAAGATGTTCGAGGGCCAGATGTGGGAAGGACATTTTTGCACCTCCACTGAAGAGTGCCCTTATCTCTGTTTATGCCTAAACGAGGCCCTTTAATGGATGAAGGGATCACCTATAATTCCAATAGCAAAGAGTGTCAATCATTTTTTTTGGATGAGGGGGGTGGGTAGGAGCCCCCATCCAAGACCAAGAAAGCCCTCCTCTCTGTCGCTTGGCTGCCCTAACATTTTGGGCATCGCCTGGTGTCAATCACTCAGATTTCGATCCAGCAAGCGACCACGCAGCCCCTGCTCCACAGACCAGTCTGGAGGGAGAAAGAGTCGGGCCTGGGTGCGATTCACGGACTGTACTTACATGGCTGGCCGGTGAGCCCCTCGCTCCTGCCCAAAGGGCCCCCCTCCAGGGCTAAGCCAAGGACCGATTCCAGCAGAAAATCCACCCCCCACCCCACCCCCCAGGGCAGGAGCGCTTCACGGATGGGACAGCGAGGATCCCACCAGCCTTCGGGTGCCTGGGGCGAGCGACCGGCAGCGGCCCACCCACCCCATCACGCCCCAAACCCGCGGCCGCCTTGTGGGAGGGGAAGCATCGGTGCGGAAAAGGAAACATGGACATGTCCTCACATGCCGGAGTTGGCAGCGCCGGCCACCCCACCCCTCCGTCGGCTCCTCGCCTTCTGGAGCCCTCGCACTCCATCTCCTATGTGCCACAAGACTTGACTACAACTCTTATCGGCCGTTTCAAGAAGCATGAAATTTGATGTTTCACCTATTTTCATGATGTTTTTGAAGACGGGTTCTCTCCCAAGCAGGGAATGAAAAGGGAATTCTAGGTATGCTTTCCTTTTAAACTTCAGAAACCTTCAAGGCTCCTTTTTAATTTCCTTTTCTTTCCTTTTTTCCATTTCCCCAGAGATACAAAAGCTGCCCCCCTCCCGTTTCCCCTCCTTGCAGCCCTTCCATCGCACACCATGGCCTCTTCCAATAGCAACGGGCATGAAATGCCTCATACTTTCTCCCGAGGTGACTCATCTCGGCTGGATTTCTCGACTCCCCCTCACTGTCCAGGGCAGGGAGAGAGTCGGCAGCCCACGGAAGAGGGAGAGCAGCAGCAAAAGGGAGGGCCAGGGGCCAACGCCGGCCCATCGGAGCCACCAGGGCCGAGCCACGGATCCTTGGGCGACCAGAAGCCAGCTTGCTCCGCAGCCCGGCCTCACCAGGGCATAAGGGGGGGCACTATTTCGCCCCTGCTCCCTCCAGGAGACCAAATTCGTGCGCGCTCAAGATGCCAGACAGGGAGCAGGTGTGTCGAAGGCGGTGGAGGTGAGTCACACCGGCAGGCAGCTGTGGAATCTACTTCCTGGGGGAAAGGAGGGGACACGGCTGGAATGGAGATAATCCGGCTGCTTTCCTACAGAAGCCGGTGCTGCCGAGAGGGCTGGTAGAGGGAGAGAGCCGGCCCGGCCACAAGGCCCAGGGAAACAGCTGCCTCAGGCGGCAGACACGGGGGTGGGGTGGCAATCACAGTCCCCCCCTTCCTGTGATTGTCCATTTGGGGTCCCCCCTTTCAGCTCCGTCGTTGTGACACCAGTGCGTGCCCTCAGGGCACACCCACTACGACATCTCCGTCTTTCTTTTTCCATGCGTCAATTCAGGGATGCGGGAAAAACTCTCCCGCCTTTGAGTTCAATGGTAGCAAGAAGGAGAAGGTGGAACTCCCTGCTACAAGATGTGATGTGGGTCATCAGCTAGGAAGGCTTTCATGGGGCTTAGGCAAAACTGGAGAGGCAAGGAGAAGGTCTTGCGCTGGTGGCAGTTAATGTGGAACCTCCCCTGTCAGGGGCAGTATACCTCTGAATGCCATGCTGGACAAATCAGGAAGACTGGAATGGGAATGCATCCGGAAGAGGGCGCTCACAACCACGGCTGCCGCACGAGACGCTGAACGCCACACCCCAAGACTGCCATGTTCCCTCTTTCGTCCGGGTTAGTGGCGGGAGGATAACACCATTCCAAACAGGTTGCCTTTAGCCCCTAAAACGTCCAGCTTTTTTAAAGGGGCCTCTAAGGTCTCAACTAGCCCCTGAGGGAGAATCCGATCTTTTTGTTTTGTTTTGTTTTGGTTGGATTAGCTTTCCTTCAGCCAGCCATCATCCTCTCCCTAATGGTTCCCTAAACATCCCCAGGAACGGCTCCCCCCCGCCCCCTTTCAGAAACTGTCCACCTGTGGGGTGGGAGACCAGAGGTGGCTTCCCAAGGTGGCCCTTCGGCACCTGAGTGTGAGAAACAGAGGCGCTAAACACCACGGAGAGCCCATGGAGAAACCACCCCGGTCAGCTGAGAAACGGGAAATGTACGCTTGTCTGCGTGTTGCTGAAGTTGGCGCTAGCTTTGCAGATTTAAGTCACAACTCCATTTCTTGAGCCCAGATTTATTGCAGGGGAGCAGGAGAGGAGGGGCTGAGAAAAAGGCAGCTCTCCAGATGTCATCGGACTACACCTCCCATCAGCCACATCCACTGGTGAGGAATACTGAGAGTTGAAGTCCAACCACACCCAGAAAGGTGCACCTTTTTCCCCGAACTGATGCGTTTGGTTAAAATCTTATCAGCAGCACCTCTAGGTGTAACACAACGGGCACAAATCTCATCGGCCAATCGCCACAAATTAAGTAGTCAGCGTAGGTATCGGCTGCCATGCGCCAGTCCGACATCTTGGCCCACGAGAGTGGATGCCTGCGCTGACATCTGCCCTCACGGCAGTCCGCCAGTGAGATTTAGGCCGACTCTGTTGTGTACAGCATTAAAAAAAATAATAATTAGTAAGATTTTGGCCATTGAAACTCAAGCAGGAACGAGCCCTTTCTGAGGGTTCCCAGAACGGCATCTGTAACTAATTCCTTTTCCAAAAGATGTTAGCGCATCAAAGGAATCAAATACCCCACCAGCTGAGATCTGTTCCCATACAGAGTTTCAGCCCTCCTCCTGCCCCCAACCCACATAAGATGAAGGTTCTGATAGAGAGAAAATTAAACAATTTTTCTTCCACTTTCCCTGAACTCAGAGCTCCTTTTTTGTTTTGTTTTTTGATGTGACTTATAGCTCATGCTCCTTGTCTTTTCTGACTGCAAATGGCCAGAGATGTTTTTATGGTTGTTATCATTAGCTCGGGAGGCCTGATGTGGTTCAGACGCTGGAATACAAGAAAATAAATCCAACCAAGGAAGCGAGAACGGGTCGGCTGTCCAGCGTTGAAGCCCCCGAAGGCCGAGGTCTGAAGGACAGGAAGGGGGACGGACCTTTGCTGGATATTATGGATCTCAGCCATGTGGGACAGGCGTCTCGAAGGCAGGAGGGCATTTAAAAAAAATCTCCCCAGAGGGAAGCGAAATCTTGCTCAAGGCTGCCAGGCAGAGAGCTGAACCGTTTCTAGAAGCCTCCAGTGATCCCTAAGATCAACGTTTTAGAAGGTTTCCAGAGGTTCTAGGAAATGCAGGAAATAGCCAGCCGACAGGATCACAGCCTTCAAAATCTGGATTTCCCCACCTCAGGACACTCTTTTTTTAAAAATGCTTTAAACCCCAGTAGAAACTTGGGAGGGTTTAACCTCAGAGGGGCACCTTCTGTATCCTGGAGATCCCTCTCGGGATGAGTCCCGATCGCTTAATGAGACCGGCGCTGAGCGACCCTGCAGAAGACGCCCGCCGACGTCTCCCATGTTATACAGGTTAATGGCGCTTCTCATTGGGTTTGCGGCTCAGGTTCAACTGGGCCGGCTTGCCTCTGAGGGCATCCCCGCCACAATTCAGATCTGGAGGGCGAGCAAAAATGAGGGAACCTGAGGAGGTGGGCCAGGCAGGCCTCTCCCCTCGTCTGCGATCTGTGCCCTCCAGCGGAAGGTTTGCAAGCGGACTTTTTTCAGACAAAGGAAATCAAGAAATTCCAACCTGCACCTGGCCTGCCTTTAGAGGGGGGGAGAAAGATCTCTTTGTGACCCAGCCGAGCTCTTTATTTTTTCCCTCACCCCGACCCACCACCCCATTTCAATGCTTGGAAGCCAGAAAACCTTTTAACCCCCATGATCTCAAACAAAGGAAACACGAAAACAGCACGGGGGGCGGGAGGGGGCATGGTTCCCGTCCTCACACGATGGCAAGGACAAAACCTTGGAGACGGGCGGTGGTGAGTCGTTCCTGGCCTCTGCTTCGAAGAAGCACCGAGCAAGCCAAGAGCTGGTTTTATTGGGATTGTTGAGCAGGAACACAAGAAGGGGGAAAACGATGACCTTATTCCCAGGGTACTGAAAACAGCGGAGAGGAAGGAAGGAAGGATGGAAAGAAAGAAAGAAAGAAAGAAAGAAAGAAAGAAAGAAAGAAAGAAAGAAAGAAAGAAAGAAAGAAAGAAAGAAAGAGTACATTCACGATTTTATTCGAAGCTCTCAGAAGCAAAAACTAACACTCGAGGGTGGCTTTTTTGCCTTAATCGTGGTTAGAGTATTCTGCGTTAGGTTAAGCTACGGTGGTTTGAAACAGGTTTGCAAACCATGTTTTGTGTCAGCCAAAGCCAAGGAAGAGATCAGATAAACCATGGTTTGCACTAACCACAATTTAGATTCCTAATCATGATTTTATGTTCCAGGCACAAAGACTGTAGTTGGCAAATTAACCCGGCCTTCTGCAAGCCAGTGTCCTCCAGATTACAACACCCATCAGCATAGAATGATGGAAGCAATAAATAAAAAAAAATCCAGAAACCACCAAATTGCCTACCTTTGATAGATGTGTTGACAGGCATGAAAACTACAGGCTTCATGCTTGGAAAAACTACTTTCTCAGACAGGCTGGGGGATAATGGGAGTTGTAGTCTAATGCAATCTCACCTCTTAGCCATGCATATGTGCCAGGAGCCCACCACCAATAACAAATGAAAGAAAATTGCATACCTGCCAGTCCAGCCTCGGTTTACCACAGCCATAGCTTTTCAGTTGACACCTTTTGTTTTAAAATATGGCAACTCTGCTCCTCACAGCCTCAGTTAGTGGTGGGCCAGTCCATGGTGGCTGTGGGGTCCCTTGTTCCTGGGGGCCGACCCCCAGCTCAATGCTCTTTTCAGCTCCCTAAAAGGACATTAAAAACAAAATAAACATCGGTATAGCATCAACACTCAAAAGCAGCCCTGGAAGGATGTATTTCTTCCCCCTGCCATCTTTCAATATTGACTTTCGGAAATAGGGCTATAAAAGGAGAGCGGATGGGTGCCCGCCCGGCACCTCTCTGTTAAAACCTTTCTGAGCATTTTCTGAACTTTTAACCCACTGCTGACCTTCCAAAAGTAATTGGGGGGGGGAAGGGGGCTCCCTGGCGCTGCTTATCTGGTGACTCACCATCCCTCATTTAGTGCTTCAGGGTTGGGGTGGGAAGGAAAAAAGGAAATTAAGAAATGGGTTCATAAAACAGAGAGGTGCTCCTGCAGAAAGACCTTGGCCTTTCCGAGCCAGCGAGCGGGGTGGGGGGNNCCTTAGGGAGCCCTCTTTTACATCTGGAAGAAAGAAAAGAAAGGACAGGAAAGATAGAAAGAAAGAAAAACCCAACTTCTGAATCCGAACAAATTCAGAACTAAGCAGAAAGCGCCGCTCAACTTCAGGGGAGCGAAAGCACCACTTTTTTGCCATTCGGCCTCAGGCAGCAAGAAGTCTGAGGACGGCCCAGGTGGCAGGGTTGTGATCCTGCTCCTCTCTGCCTTTCTCCTCACCCCTCACTCATGCTTGCTGCCTTTCTACAAGCATCGCCGCCGGGAGACAGAAAGAACTGGGGGGGGGGCTGAAGAGAGAGGGACCCCCACCCCGAGAAGAGCCCAGGACAGCCCACAGGCCTGAGGGTTGCCATGGGGAAGGGAAAGGTCCCCCGAAACATCCCTCCGGGTTTTCACTGGGTTGCCATGGATTCGCACAAGGATCCTCACCTCGGCAAAGGTTGGGGGGGGGCTCCTCTCACTCCTTTTGTTTACCCGACCCTCACCGAATCTGGCCTTGGGTATTTTTATCCCCGCTGGGAACGATCCTAACCTTTTGTGACGGGGCACCGGATCAGAGGGACAGTCCAAATATATCCCACTACATTCCCCCTTTTATCTTTCCACATCATGGGGGGGACGGGGCGGTGTGCGTGCGTGCGTGTGTGTTGGGGGGGTGAAACAGGGTAACAATATCAGGAATAGCATCCTTGGCACACAGACACGCGGGAAAGGTCGATCGTTGGCAGAATCAAAACCTGGCCCAGCAGTCCTTCTTTGGCCCAAGACGGGCAACGCCATCGGCCGGCCGGCAGACTCTTGAGGGACGGGCCGATACTCGATGCCCTTCACCATCGCAAGAACTGGGGAAAGTGTGTTTGTCTGGTGAGCCATGGCGTTTTGGACGCCACCAAGGGCCCTTCCAGATGAAACGCTGAACCTCCTCCCGGTGGATTTTGCCTGGTTGAACATTTCCAAAGACTCATTTCAAAAATAATAAGAATACTCCTTTCTCTTCCCCCCCCCCATGAATAATAAGTAGGTTTTTGGCTCTCCTGCTGCATTTTGAGTGGTCTCTGGAGCCTGAGAAACTTCTGGGACCTGAAATATGGGACTCAGACCCACCCCAGTCGGCCCTGCCAGCTCTCTGCCACCCACATAGGAAGCAGCAGCTGGCAGTGCCAGAAGTCAGCAAACTTTGGACGGGGGGGGATCGGTGGTAGCAGTTGGGGGGGGCATGGCAGCCTTTTTTGCTCCCACAGATGGGAGATTAGCTTTAAACCGCTTTTGGAACCAGATGCCAAGAGATCTTGAAGACATGATAACATCTCTCCTGCTGAGCTAATCCTGTCAGGGGTTGAGAGGCTGCCGAAGAGGAGGAGGAGGAGGAGGAGAGCAGGGCTGGCCGAAGGCAGGCGCACCAGCCGGGAAAGCAAAGGCCGGTGACGGGCGGACAGGACGGGGCAGTTTGCAAACCAGCCAGGCTGCGCCAGGGGTGGGAGGTGTTGACGGGCGCCAGGGGCCAGGAGAGATCATGGAAACCTGGGTTTTAAGGGCACAGCCGCAAAGAGAGGCCGAGGCGGAGAGGAGGCGATCATGTTCGCTTCGCCTCCAGTGGCATCCCGGGTATGTCAGCGAGAGCATCTTAAGGCTCTGAGCGCTCAGGGCTGCTCGGCGGCTGGCCAGCCCCGAGCGCCATCCGAAGCCTCTCTGAAGCGCTCGACTCCCTCCTGCTTTGAAGTTTGAGGTGGGGGGACTTTACAGAGATCGGAGTCTTTCTTTTTTTTCCAAAGAGCAGGAGGGTCAGAACCCCACCAACCTGCTGAAAAAGTCCCCAGCCCTGCCTGGAGATGCATCCTGGCTTGGGGCCACGTCAAGCAGCTCTCAGATCAAATGGGGCTCTAGCCGCAGCCTCTGGCCCGTGCTGGCTCCATGGAGCTTCCACAGCCAAGAGCAGTCCACCCTGAAACGCTCGCTAAGGGGACAACAGCAGAAAGCCATTTTTTTTTCCTTTCCATTCCTGGAACAGCCGCCTTCACAAACAGTGCACCTGTGGCGAGAAGCAACCAATGTTGCCCTGCGGGGTAAAGAAATCTGTCAATTAAGCAACCACAAGGGAGGGTGGGGAATCTCGCTGCAACCCCTGTGCCTCTGCGGAGGCTGAAGGCAAAAACAGGAGGTTGTTCAAGGGCCAACCCTGGAACCTCAAAGGGGGCACCTTGCAGGAAGGGGTTTGGCCACTGGGAGGGGGGGGACCTTCATTCAGGCAGGCAGATTCCCTCCCAGAGCGGAAGGAAGGTTCCCCCCCTCCTGCGTTCCAGGCCTGGAAGAAGGAGTCACAAAGAGGACGCACAAGGCACCTCTACTGATAGGTTAGAGACAGGGAGGAAGAGAGAGGTGGGTGCGTATGTTTGTGTGTGCCTATTTTTTGGGTGCGACCGAGATGGCTCAGTGACGCATGGAAGCTGCACCAACAGACCCGCCCTGAGCGCAAGGTTTTAGGATTGAACCCGGCTGGCGAAGGCTGCGTGAAGATTGCACCATGCTTACCTCTCTTAAGAAGTGAACTTTTGGCTGAAAGGGAAGGAAAATAACCAATTGTAATTGAGATAAATAATAGAAGCGGCAAGGGGGAAGAATAAGAGAAGTTTCCATCCTGAGGACTAGGTACTTGAAGCCGACTTTGCTGGTAGGAAAGGAAAAGGCCTCCAGGCTGGAGTAAGGATCTGAAGGGTGGGTGTAGGAATTATCCCTATGGAAAGGGAAGGACAAAGAATGGGCTTCTAAGTTTATCCCCAGTCTCCAAAATTTGCTTCGCAGGTAAAATCTGGGATGGTTAGAAAAGGGGAGGCCGGCCAAATTACTCTCCGGGTGGTAATGAGAACCATTAGGGAGGAATCAAACCTCCAGCGCGAGAGAGAGGCAGATGTTTTCCCATTCAAAATCCACAAGACGAATCGCAGATCTTGGTCGGTCACAGGGAGCCGTCCAAGAAACTCTTTTAATAAAGAACAATGGAGAGAACAGATCGAAGCTGCCAAGGCAGCTGATACTGGAAAGACCGTTTAATTTAATTTATCTTTTTTCTTCTTCTCTCTCTCTCTCTCTCAAGAAAGGAAATACAGTAAAAGAAAGCAAGGAACATGGTGTCTACAAAGTAATCCACATTTTGTGTTGCCTTTTAGCAGATCATTTCCAAAAGAAAATGAAAAGTTTGGCTGAGGTGCCAGACAGGACCTTAAGATTTCAGGGGGTTGTTAAAAAATGTTTGTGGGGGAAAGGAGCAAGTTAATTTGGGGACTAATGACTTTTGGGGACTACAGTTCCCATGGCTAGAGGCCATGCTGTCTTGGGGATGATAGAGGTTGTAGTTGAAAAGGTCACTTCTTCTTCCAGAAAGAAAGAAAAGAAAAGAAAAGAAATATCAGTTCCTGGAGCACAGCTTTGCTGGATGTTGGAGGAACGCTGTCCTTCTCCTGCCTTGGCTGGAGTCATTACTGTAACATTCCCCTCTTATTACTTCATTATTAACAGAAAAGAAGCAGCAGATAAAAATCTTCTCTCTGGTTGGCTTGGACGGGGCCTTTGGAAAGGCCAAAACAGAGCTGGTCCCTGGGAAATAAGACCCGGAGACCAGAGGAAAACTTAAAAGCCAAGGTTAAACACACCACGCAATTCCCTTGCCGCTGGTGAGCGAGCCAAGCTGTCCCGTTTGGCCGCATCCCGCCCTGCGTCAGCGCCGCCACCCCACCCTTCTGCGAGTCTGGGGCCAAAGGCCGGCTCCAGCACAAGCAGGCCCCCAGATGTGCTCTTCTTCCAGGGCACATGTGAACGCACCGAGTGGCGCAGCTTGCCGAGGTTAATGTTTGACTCCATGCTGTGGTCTGAGTCCTTCCCGGTCTCGGTTCCGACTTCTGTGGATGCGGTGAGGAGCCTACGGCCCTGGGGCCAAATCCGGCCCTCCCCGTTTCCCCAGAAGGCACCGTCCTACTTCCCGTCCACCCGCTTCCCCCTTCTGGTCTTCACAACCACATGAAAAGAAATAACAACACTGGCGGGGGGGAGGTGAGCCCATGAAACGAATGTGAGGTCAGCAGACCCGGCGCAGAATCTGCAAAATTGACAGTGAAACAAATTTGGCTTTCAATACGAGAAATGATCAGGAGATCAGATGCAAGACACAGTTCTCACACACCATTCCAAAGTTTGACCCTCAACCCCTTTTCATAGCTTTTATATTTTGACCCATCAGGCAGGGAACCTTAAAAGCAAAAGGTTTCTGGAGGGTCTCGAGTGGCTCAAAGCCAAATTCCCGGGAACGCATGCCGTGGCCACGGCTCAGGGGACGAGACGGGATTTCCAGCCGCAGTGGGTCTGCCTGCCTAAAGCCGCGACGAACCAAAGCCTCTTAAAGAAAATAAACGACGAACCGTCCCTTCCTCAAGGACAGCCGGCAGAATCCTGGCTCCCTTCCTGAGGGATTTGTTTCCAGTACAAGACCAAGCAGAAGACTTTGAGATTCGAACACGGCGTGCGCCACCCCTGTCCAGGCCGGCATAACTCAAATGCACTGGCCTGAATGATCTATGCAAATTAAGCTCGTTG